GGGTTTTAAAGCTGGATGACGCTCTGGGCAGCTGCAGCCCTCTGTGCGCCCTGTGCTCCAGCTTTCCGTTCCTTTGGGGTTGCAGGCCCAGTCCCAGGTGTACGGCGGGGTCACCTACTACAACACTGTCCAGCAGCAAGTGCAGCCGAAACCTTCTCCGCCCCGAAGAACATCCCAGCCTGTGACTATCAAGCCACCGCCCCCCGAGGTACAGACCCCCCTGCCGTGCGCTGCTGTGGGAGACCATGCAGGAGACGGTTTCCCAGTGGCGTGCGATCTCTCTCTCCCCTCCCCTCTCCTCCCTCGAGAAATGTGTTGTTTTCAAGAAAATCTTCCGCTTATTTTTTGACGTGTCCCAAACTCCAGCTTCTCGTTGCAGGTTGTAAGCAGGGCTCCAGTTAATTTGAGTTTCTAAATACTTTAAATCTAAACCCACGTACAAAGTAAGTCCCAAGTTGACTCTTGGTTTCCTTTTTGTTTAGAAAAAAAGATACTTAAAAAATCCATTTCTGACATACAAAATGGTGCTTTCTCAAGGCAAATAAATGTTGATGCCTTGAGCGTGTAGCGACTGAAGGGGCAGGTTTAAAGTCCGTACAGAGATGAGAATCACTTCTCTGCTGAGGACCATATCCCCTCTCCAGTGCTACGCACTTGTGGGCGTTCTGGTGGCCTTGTAAATATCACCCATAGGAGGTTAGGAAGCGTCCGTCACAGCGGGCACAGACCCACAGGTAGCTGTTGGGGGTCACTTGCCCTGTGTCAGGAGAAGAAGCCACACGCGCTAGAGCAGAGGACTTGGGAGTCAAGACTCTGGGATCGATTCCTGGCTCAGCCACTCACTCACTGGGTGACCTTGGGCCTTAGTTTCTCCCAGCCATCACACAGGGAGAATAGGCGCCGTTCGCACAGGGCTTTGAGGTCCTCTGGAGGAAGGCCCCCATGCCTGGTGTTAGCCAGTGGCCCCTAACTCCTCCCGGCCTGTTTACCTTCACTGCTGTGCAGAGTTGGACCTGGCGCAAGAGCTGGCTAGCCAGAGTGCACGGTGACTCTGGTGGTGCAGCCGGGGACCGTGGCTGCTCTCTAGTGCCCTGGGGTGGGGAACCTCCGGCCCACCTCCATGCTAGCAGTGACCCTGTGCAGCGAGCTTGTGAAGCGTGCACTAACTCCAGGGCTTGCATCTTCCCTCCAGGACAGCACAAGTGAGAAGTCAGAGGAAAGGAGCAATACGTAGGGACGCCTGCTTCCGAAGTTCCAGCCCCGCCAGCACGCAGGAAGCTGCGACTCAGAGAATCCCCTTCTCCATGCGTAGGTGAGGCCAGCGGCCTGCCGCATTGTATCGTGCTCGGGGCCGGGCACGCTTTCCTCTGAGGCGTTTCGTGCCTCTCACTGCTGCCCCCCTCACCCGGTCCCGGAGGGCGTTGAAATACTGAACACAAGGGTTGCTCCCTGGCTGCAAGTTCTTGCGATTCCCCCCTCGTTCGCCCCTTCCCCTTATTAAATGTTTGACCTTTTCCAGCATAGCATATGGGCATTGTATCGTGCTCGGGGCCGGGCACGCTTTCCTCTGAGGCGTTTCGTGCCTCTCACTGCTGCCCCCCTCACCCGGTCCCGGAGGGCGTTGAAATACTGAACACAAGGGTTGCTCCCTGGCTGCAAGTTCTTGCGATTCCCCCCTCGTTCGCCCCTTCCCCTTATTAAATGTTTGACCTTTTCCAGCATAGCATATGGAACAAAAGTGGCTTGGTTCTGTTCTGGTTTTGGTTTGGTATTGGACTCTCGGTTGGTCAGGTAGCCAGGAGCGTAGCCCCCTCCCCAAGGAAACCTCAGCTGTTACTTTTGTTTCTTCGGCTCCGACATTAGCATGTTTCTTTCTGACACTGTAGGCGCCTAGATGCTTGGGGAAGGGCAGCTGACGGTCAGCCGTCTGGCCGGACCCCCCCCCCCCCCCCCCCCCCCCCCGCACGCCCCCCCCTCTCTTCCTTTCTGGAGCAAGCCCTGCTAGTAAATTTGTCATGGGCAGTTTCTGTCGTCCGAGTGTGTAAACTCTCAACCTGAAGCAGCCAGGATGTGCCGATGCAGGGCAAAGTCCAGCCTCCGCTCTCCCACCAGTGCATGCTGCACCCCGCAAAGTCAGACACTAAATGGGACCCAGAGAGGAGCAGGCAGCTCTCCGGGCATTCCCGAGGCGCTCTGAGGAGCTGTCCTCTTGCTTGCAGGCTGCTTGTCCTTCTACCTTGTTCTTGAGCGAACCGGCTTGGCAGGATAAGCCCATGTATGGTTTGTCCCCAGCCGTTGGCTGGTGCTTCTGTGTGAGTGGAAGATGATGAAATCAGACATGCTGCATCCACTTCCCCGGACAGGGCCTGCCCGCTCCAGTCCCCA